TGTGATCTGTGGCTTGATTAGCATTAATAAAACTGGGGTCCATGTGTTGATTGCTAATCTTGAAAATGGACTTAAAAAAGAGTCAAACCATAATTTGATTGTTCAAACTCTATCACAAGAAATGATGAAATTATGTGCATTACTGTGAGTTTTAGGCTCCATCCTGTCTCAAAATGATTAATTTTAAACAATGTATATTGTCCCATTAGTACCAATCAAACAAAACCTAACCATTTTGGAGTCAACCACTGAAAGTGCTACAAAAGTAATAACAGTGCATGATTTTGCAAACAACAATATTACAAATTAAAAAAATTAATTAAAAAATATTTTAAAAAATAAATTAATGAACTATATTTATTGTGAGTGTGACCCATATTTCACTATTTTTAAATCTATACTATACACTCATTTTTCAGAGCAAAATTCAAGATTTATTTTCATAATCCATTGCATTTTTGTTTTGCAAACTATAAAGTTCTTATTTTTTAAATTTATTTTTCAGAAAAAAAGTCTCCCTGAATTCTTATTAATAAACATTAGTATTTGAATTCTTGATTTGTGCTTTGTTTGTCTAGACCTTTTTTTCGGAGAACTATATGTAGGTGAGAGAAGAAAAAAAAATTACCAACACATGAGAGGTGCAACTTTCACCCCCACAATCTTTCATTTATATCTCACCACAAACACACTTGCACTTTCCATGTGTTAGTAATTTTTTTCTTTTCTTTCATCTGCGTGTAGTTTCCATTTTCTTTTTCTTTTTCCTTCTGTAAATGTTTTTTGTTGAAATAAATTAATTTTTAATTGATCATGAACAATATTTTTTTATATTAAAATGTCAAAAAATACAGAAAAATATATATTTTTCATTATACTAAATGTCAAAGTTAAAATTTGGTCAATGTGACCACATTACCATGTGAGCTTTGAACTCCTTTGAAATTTAAAATTTAGAAGTTGGTGCTGACTGTGGGCATCATCATAAAAGCTCATGTTGAACAAAACTTAACCGTAACTTGAGTGTGGAGTTTAATGAGTTGTTTAGGATGATTTAAATAAGTATATTTTTTAATTTTTTATAAATATAAGGGTTGTTTTGAGATGATGGTAAAAAGTGATTTTTTGACTTTTAACCAAGCTTTTGGCTTTTTTAGACAAATGATTTGAGAAGTTGGTAAAAAGTGACTTTTGACTTTTTTTGATTAATGTTTGTTTATGATGTCAAATCATTATAAAATGACCAAACTACCCCTATTTATTTAAAATATTTACAACTTCACCTATGTAACACGTTTTGACCCATGAGGGGTAAAATTATAATTTCACCGTTGGCTAAAAACCAACATCCCAAATGAAAAAAAAGACAAAAAAGTCAACTTTTGACTTTTGCTACTAACCAAAAAAAGTGACTACAAACCATGTTGCCAAAATAGGCCTAAGTTGAGTATGAGTTAGATTTAAAGTGATGCGATAGAGAAGTGGTGTGACTTAAATAAGATGATATGATAAATACGATAGTGACTTTTTGACTTTTTAACTTTTTTAGGTTATGACAAACAAGACCTAATAGTGAAATGAACAAACATAGGGTAATGTTGTGGTAAATTTTACGCTTTTTTTAATCAGAGTTACCATAATTTATGATATAAAAATAAAATTATGTATTTTGTGTTTTTATAATGTTATATATTTTTTTATTAAAACATTTTCTAATCCTAATATGTGTAACAATGCCATAAAATAAATTATATATGAGATATTCGTAAATTTTGTATCAAAATTTATAATAAATAATAAAATTTTAAAAAAATATGATTGATTGTTCACTAATGTTTAAATTTTTTTCCAATTCACTTAAAATAGTAATTTAAAGCTGTCAAAATATTCCATCATCAAGTTAATTTTGAGGATGAGTGAACCAGCGATAAATTAAAAAATTCTCCATTTTTCAAAAATAATTCAATTGATAATAAATTCTTCATGGCTTATTTTGAGAACATCTTAAAATAATTTAAAAAATCACTATAAAATAATTAATTTTTATTTTTTTATGTTTTTATAAAAAATTAATTATAGTAGTCAGTTTTGAAAACAATTTGGAAAGATTTTCTCGAAAGAAGAAATTCGACTGTTGAAAGTTGAAAATGAAAGGGGTTGAAAAAAGCTGAGCGATTAATAAAAGTATTTGTAGAAACAAGAAAGTGGTTTGAAAAGCCACAAAAAGACAACAGTAAAAGTTAAATTACTAGTTCTTCTAACCCGAACACACACATTTCAAATTCGTATCTCTGCTCTCTTCAACGTTCGAAATTACAACCTTGCTTCAGACCCGCAGTTAGGTGGCGAGTTTTTACTAGTTGAAATTTAAAAGAAAATTAAAAAAAAATAAAATAGTTTTTTTTGTCTAATCACGGTGTGCTACCCCACTGGGGGGTCGACCTTCAGTGGAGGTCTGAAGTATTTTTCTTCGAAATTACTCTCGTGTCCTCTTCCTATCTCAGATTCTCACTATATTGGCGGAAATTATTTTAAGCTAAAAGTTAATAATTAAAAAATAAAAATTGCATTTCACCTTATTTAATTTTAATTTTATGAATTCAATTTTTTTTTTAAATTAGGTTTTTCAGTATTTTGTGTTTTTCTTAAATTTTATTATTTTTTTTAATATTTTAAGTAAATTTTTACCTTTTAAATAGAAAAATGTTTGGGAGTTCTAAAAAAGAAACTCTAGAGCTCAATTAGGGGTCGTTTGGTAAACGCTTTGGACTCATCTTTTTGTGTTTTTCTTAAATTTTAGTATTTTTTTAATATTTTAAGTAAATTTTTATCTTTTAAATAGGAAAATGTTTGGAAGCTCTAAAAAAGAAGCACTAGAGCTCAATTAGGGGTCGTTTGGTAAACGCTTTGAACTAAAAAAATCAAAAAATGACTAAAAAAAAAAGTAAAAAAATCACAAAATGACAAAATAAGCAAAAAGACAAAAAATAAAATAAAAATACACCATTCCAAAGCCAAACAAGAATACCAAACGATCAAAAAAGTCTCAAGTTAAAAAAGTCATTGCCAAACAAGCACTTAGAACTCTAATTTTATGGGGATGAATCACTACTGTTTTAAATATACTTAATTTAGATGTACTTAAAAAGTAAATTATTTATATATTTAAAAAAATCAATAAATATACAAGACGAAAATGTACTTATTTTTTTATTTTTTTTTATTTTTTTGATATTCAGTGAATTTTTAAAATATTTTTTTCACAAATATTATATCTTTTAATTGTATTTATATTAAGTGTATTTAAAAAGTAAAAAAAAAATTACTTAAAATATTAAAAAAATTCACTAAAAATAAAAAATAAGAAAAATAAAAGGTTAATTTTCAGAAAATTAAATTCAGAAAATTAGAAACAAAGAAGGTGAAAAGTACACCTCTTTCAATTTCTGAAAAAATCAAATTTTAAAATTTATTTAAATTATTTTCACCTAATAAATTATGAGCAAAAGATATATCAAATAATCTGACACAAACTCTTAAATTAAAATAAATTATAAATTACTTGTATAATCTCTTCTCATTGGGACATGACATGGGTCATCCAACCCACTTGAAAAATTATGGATAAATTACATTGACATCCCTTGAGGTTTGATCTAAATTATTATCTACCCCTGACGTTTGAAAATTACATTTCTATCCATGTGATTAATAGTCTCATTTCACAAACCCCTTCTACTTATATAAAAGGTAACAACTCCTAGTAAAAAAACAGAGAAAATTACATTAAAAAAAAGAGTAAAGGAATGGAGAAAAAAGAGAAAGTAAAGCAAAAAAAAAAAAAAAAAAAAAAAAAAGAGTACATGAGTTCAGTGTCTTCAATCCGTCTAAATAATTATAATGGCTTATTTTGGGAAGATGGTAAAAAGTGACTTTTTGGCTTTTAATCAGGCTTTTTGGCTTTTGGCTTTTTTAGACAAATGATTTGAGAAGTTGGTAAAAAGTGACTTTTGACTTTTTTGATTAATATTTGTTTATGATGTCAAATCATAATAAAATGACTAAACTACCCCCATTTATTTAAAATATTTACAACTTTACCTATGTAACACATTTTGACCCATGAAGGGTAAAATTGTAATTTCACCGTTGGCTAAAAACCAACTTCCCAAATGAAAAAAAAGCCAAAAAAGTCAACTTTTGGCTTTTGCTACTAACCAAAAAAAGTGGCTAAAAACTATGTTGCCAAAATAAGCCAATGAGGGGGGGTTAGTGCAATTTTCTAAACATCAGGGCATGATATGTATTAAATTCAAACTTCAGGGATATAAGTGTAATTTATCCAAAAATTATTGGTTGATTCTAAGGCCAAGTTTGGGAAGACTAAATAAGTGCACTTTTTGTCTTTTTAGACTAAAAAATTGAGGTTGAAAATATGGATGTTTGGGTTAACTTTTCCCAAATGAAAAAAAAGCCAAAAAAGCCAACTTTTGGCTTTTGCTACTAACCAAAAAAAGTGGCTAAAAACTATGTTGCCAAAATAAGCCAATGACAGGGGGGTTAGTGCAATTTTCTAAACATCAGGGCATGATATGTATTAAATTCAAACTTCAGGGATGTAAGTGTAATTTATCCAAAAATTATTGGTTGATTCTAAGCATCACGTGATTTCAAATTAATTACAAAACTTATGTCTCTTAATATTTTTCAATTATCTAATATAAAATTTTAAACTCGTACCTTCTACCAATTATAATAAATATAGAGCGCCACACAAAAAATTATTGATCAATTATAAGATATCAGGCCAATTATAAATTTTATATCTTCTCATATTTTTCAACCCCTCCACGCAAAATTATGAGCTTCCTCCTCTGCTAATCACAATAAATGTAGAATATGAAGTGACACTACCTATAAACCAATCAATAGTTCTCCAACCCCACACAAATATAATTCAAATTTCAAATTAGTTCAAACTTCAAAACTTCAAACCTCTCTCCCTCTCTCTCTCTCTCTCTCTCTCTCTCTCTAGCCTTATTACTGTTGGTTTTGGAGTTTTTCACCTCCGACTCTCGTGTTTCAAAAAGAGCTGTCAATACAGAGATCTATAAGACTCACTGCTCTCTACCCATTCCAGCCAAAGTTCACCTTTCCTTCCTCTGTCTTTCTCTAGTGGGTTTTGGTCCCTGTTTTCGCATATGCATTTTACTATAAAGTTTCTTCAGATGAAATTTTTTCTCACAAAGATTGTGTAGTTGAAGTCGAGACAAACTCTCACGGTGAGATCCATTTTTCTTGTTTGCTACTTCAATCATTTATCTTGCTGTTCTGTTTTTTCTGTTTTTTAATCTGTTTGGTTACTTAGAAAATCGGCCATTAATCTCTGAGATCTGATGGTACTTGAAGCATGGGTTATTCAATGTGCTTAAATTGAAGAATGGTTGTTTGGTACAAATGTGACTTATTAAATGTTTGTTTCTCTCTATTTATACATTTATGTGTGCTTTCTAGTCTTCAAGTTCATGCTTTTTGTGGGTACTTACCATTGGTACTGCTTACTGATTGTCAAATAGGATTTTTAAAATTGACAAAAGTTACCCTGTTAAATTTGAAAGACACAAAATAATTTTCCCACTTATTTTTCATTTTTTTGGGCATTTTTTCCACTTTCTTTTTAGGTTTCGGCCAAAAATGTTGCATACTTAGAGTTTTATACAAATTTGTGCACAAATTATATTTTTGTCAGTACAATAGTAGAACATTGGATCTATATTTACCAGCTATAGATCCAATGTTACTTGCACAATATTGAATCTATATGGGGTTGTAAGATTATGTTGCACAAACCGTGTATACTCGAGTGTAAATTTATTCACACAGTGTGAATATTATACTGCACCTTATTTATTTATTTTTCTCATCTAATGAGACCACCTCATTGTGAGAGATGTGTGTAATGTTCATAGTGTGTGAACAAATTTGCACTCGTGTTTACCCCGTTATAGGTTGAGATCTATGTCGCTGTTGTTTTCTGATGACAATTGCGGTGCTTTTGATACAAGTTGTGCTCGTTGCACGGAATAAAATTATAGAATGAATCACAGAATAAAGATAAAAGATTAATATATATGCCTTATATGTTGGATCTACTTTTTGTCTCTATTTTGTGAACCATTCTGTGATTTAATTCTGTACAACTAAATATAAAACATGGTGTATCATTGCATATAGATGTTAAAATGCAACAATAATTTTGTTGATCCATCTTTATGGTGGTGAACATTGTCTACCAACCTAATTGATTCTTTCAAAGTTGTGAATCCCACTAAAAAGTAGCAGTTAAAGAATTAATTAAGATGGTGAGTAATGTTCATCCACCATATAGCGGGGTTAACAAAATCATAGCTCAAAAGTAGATGAGCAACACACTTCTGCGTTACTCGAGAAAGCATGGAACCAACACTAGAAAGGACTTTTGATGTTTTTAAGAAGCAATTATTCAGTGTCGTTGGGGTATTGCCTCAACAGTATTTGAGATTATACATTTGTATGAGAACTACTACTATTTATGTAGGCCTCATACAAATGTGTGGTCTTAGATACTGTTGGAATAATGCTGAACGAAATTGAATTATTTGTTTCTTATTAGACAAGGTAGTTAGCAAAAATTATTATATAGTCCCGAATTATCACGTCATTTTTGGTCTCGGTTATTCATGATTGGCTACCTAGAATAAAATGGGGTTAGAGATACAATTTACTTAGGGCCTATCTTTCTCCAAAAGGTGAAAATGTTAATGTTTTACTTTAATCGAGGTGACCGATCATGGGTGGTTGGGACAAAAAATGACGTGGTGGTCCGGGACCATTGAATAATTATTCAATGGTTAGCGAAAGTAAGGATAGTTTAAAAAATGATCCTTGGTTAGTGCACTAAAAAAACTTATTAAATCCTTATTGACTACTTATAGATTGATAAGCCCCACACTAAGTGGGACTCACCGACCTGTGAGTGGTCAGTAAACATTTGGTGAGTTTTTCAATGCATGCATACTTACCCTTTTGAAAAGGAGTTGGTTCCTCTTGGACTCAAAATTTAATCAAAATTTGGTAATAGAAACTATGAAGCTGTGGGTTCTACACAAGTGGGCCCATAACTTCTTGCACGGAATTTTGACTTAGACCTCCAATTTATTTGGAGAGATGTCCTTTTTGAAGGGAGTGATTCAATCATTTCCCCCAATAAAAGTATAAGATTCTATAAAAATTGAAAAAATCGAAATCGAAATCAAAATCAAAAATCAAAGGGAAAGTGTTAAACATAATTCCATTTGTGATCTCATTTTCTCACTTCTATAACAGGGCATTAGGTCTCACATACATTTAAAAATGTGGGTCACAGTACCTAATATCTAAGAGTTAGAAAACGAGGTAAGAAATGAGATTATGTAGAACAACACTGAAAAGACTGAGGGTAGTTGTTAAAAATATAGGGATACTTTTGGGACAGAAAATAACCTTCAAATTTTTAAAATTTTTAAAATTGGTGCTTTCACAACCCTTCCTTTCTCACATAGGTGGCCCCATTCATGTGAGTGAGAGTTGTGTGACAATGATAGACCTACTATGTGAGAAGGAAGGATGTGGCAGCATAAAAACAAGCTGTGTATTTATCGACCTACACAAAATTCGTGTTTAAAACTTTGTATAGATAAATAACATTGTCTATTTTCACACTTTTCGCTTGCACATAATAGTTTGTATATGGAACATTTGACATCCCTTCGTTCGTGTATGGATTCTACAAGGCATAACTACTGATTTAACAAATTAGTGCAGAAGTGCTTTTATGATGGTTAAAAATCAAAGAGGTAGACTTCCTATTTATTTGAATTATTTCAATCAATGAAATGCCTTAAAATGTTGTTCTAATCAATTATACACTCAGATTGTAGTTATATAACTCAAAAACTACATGAAATAATTGAGAAGTATTAAGAAATGATTCCAATAGATTTATTGATCTTCCTCCTAAAATATTTGTTTTCAAAACACTTCTAAGCTTTTCAAAACACTCCGTAAGTTCACTTGGCCCCTCTATTTCCCACATTATAGTTGAAGATAACATTGTATGCTGTTGAATTTGCTCTCAAAGTTCCCACATTATAAATTAACATTACAGATTGATTCATGGGGTTTATGAGGCTTCATTTCTTACTTTCACTTTGTGGTAGCATTTGGAGAATTCATGGCTAATTGTGTAGACTATAGATATAGCTCGATTGCTCTGGAATATCACCTAATTATTTCCTTTTAGATTTTGTGTATTGGTAAAATGTACATAGGACAATTTTGTATCTCTCATGTGTTTACAATAATAGGTGCTATAAACATGACTAAAGATTCTTTTGGACTTGCATATATTTATTCAAGGCAACATTTATAGATTTGCTTCTTATTTGTTTTGTCTCTCATTTTGTTTAATATTCTAAATCATATTTATGAAACATTTTTTTTGGTATCAAAATGCATGCTTACTGAATAAGCTTTGTTTTGACAGCTCGGGTTTCAAAAATTAGTTCCAAACCAATGTATTCTGGTTTAAAAGTTTAAGAAGATATTGTAAAATAATAGGTCAGGTCGTGAGCAAAAACGAAGATCTTTTGACATAGTCATAATTACTAAACTGTCCCTGCCAGATACGTTAGAGAAAGGTGTAACACATGTAAGGTTATCTTGACTATAGTGAATTTTAAGCAACAAAACTAGAGGGTGTTAACCCTTAGTGTTTGCTTCGTTAGCATGTTTGGTGAAAAGAGCAAAACGAAAGTGTATTGAAAGAATCTCTTTTAGGTTTTCTTGAATGGCAAAATTGCGCTTTCACCAGTTTTGTGATTGTCTTCTTGTTACGATTTGAAATTTTTTTTTTTGCATCACTTTCTGTTTTATTTCCTCCATTTGTTGGGATTATATATTGGGAACATCATTGAAGTCTAGGAGATAACACAAGTTTTTATTCCCACTGGCCGTCTACATTTTCATCTTGCCTTACTGTGTTTGTTTGCATACTAATATATTTTTCTTTTTGTTCCTTCCGTTGTGCAGATCACAAGCTTTTGACTAATTAGCCTTTTAAGTTAATCAAATGCCGAAATCAAGGTTAGAATTTATCCATCATTGTAAATGCAGTTCGATTTATATATTGTACTTTTGGTTTCATTGCTCTCAAACCCCGATAATTTGTTTTAAGAGATTCTATGTTGTGTTCCAATTATGTTGTTCCAATGTATTGCTTCTTTGCACTAGAGAAGTGAATACAAATATCATCATGAAAAAGTAGTCGGGGCCTTAATTCCACAATTTGTTTTTGTGTATGATATCCTTTTCATTGCTTTTACTTTATTGATCTTTATATGTGAATTAGGGGATCAGAAATGCCTCAAAGGCAATCTCCCAGAGGCCCACTACAACTCAGGACATCGAGCTCTGATTTTGAACCATCGCATCATCGACCAATTACTGACAGGAGCCCCAAGCTAGGAGATCGTCGATCGCCAAGAGGTGCCCAATCTGACCCCCTGAATCAAAAGAAACTCGGTACTCGCATTGCAGGTCTAGAAACTCAACTTGGGCAAGCACAAGAAGAGCTCAAGATTCTGAAGGAGCAGTTAGCCTCTGCAGAGGCTGCAAAAAAAGAAGCTCAAGAGCAACTGGAGAAGAAAGCAAAGAAGCCGAGTGGTCCAGACCCTTTGGCAGTCCAAGATAAGCATCCTCCAAATGGAGTCCAAGAGTCGAATGAAAGAGACAACACCACGCCCCCACATGAGATTCCCAACGATGACAATCAACGCGAAACTGATGTTTTCGAGGTTCCAATGGAAAAGGTAACGGTGGAACCTAAGGTTGAGTTCAGTGAACCGATTGATCAAGAAAATCAAGAAACCAAACCAACTAGCATACCAACCGAATCACCAGAGCCACAACTGACGTTTGATGACTTGGCTTTGAAGAACGATGAGATAAGTTTGCTGAAAGCAAAGTTAGAAGAGAAAGAGAAGGAACTAGAAGTGTCTGGTCAAGAAACTGAGAGTTTGAAAAATCAGTTGAACGAAGCGGCGTTTGAGATGTCAACAAGCCAAGCCAAGGAAGAGGAGATGGCTTCAAAGTTGAGCCAAATGGGACAAGAGCTGGAAGCAAGTAGAGCCAACGAAGTTGAGCTGAAGGAGAAGCTGGAAGCCGTTGAAGGAGCAAAGGAGGCATTGGAAAGTGAAATGAAGAAACTGAGAGTGCAGACAGAGCAGTGGAGGAAAGCAGCTGATGCTGCAGCTGCAGTGCTAGCTGGGGGTGTGGAGATGAATGGGAGACGAATATCCGAGAGGTGTGGGTCCATGGAAAAGCCCTTTGGAGCCATTTTTGAGCCACCTGTTGGGGGGTACGCGGGCTTTGTAGGTTCACCAGGTTTGGGTGATGATTCGGATGACGGTTTTGGAAGTGGGAAGAGGAAAGGTGGTTCTGCTATTAGAATGTTTGGGGACCTGTGGAAGAAGAAGGGGCAAAAATGACAATCTCTCTTTGCTAATGGTACTTCGAAAACCTCTTTCGGTGTTGATGTTAATGTTGTCTTTTAGTAGGGAAATGGTTGTGTTGGTTTTGGGTTGGTATTGTGTTTATATAGTTTGATCACTTTGGCCATCTTGAGTCAAGTACTAGGTGAGAAATTTTAAGCTGAAGTTGAGCTCTCCAAATCTTCGAAAATGGTTGTGTTTTTTGGGTGAGGTTTAGGATGCCGCTTCTGTAATGCATGGGCAATATATTGTCTTTAAAGGAATGAATGCTCTCATTTTATCTTTTTGAGAATTTCTTGTTTGATTTAACTCACTTTTTTAAAAATTAAAGACTCTGTTTGTTTGTATTCTCAAATCAATTTTCTATGTGTGTTTTGGAGCATAATGTTTGGTTACGTTTTCAAATCAATTTTCTACATTCTCTGCAGAGAACTCTGTGCACACTGGCGTGTTTTCTGTCCAAAGGAAGACCACCCGGTAGACCACCCGGATGTCCACCCGGTAGACCACCCGGATGTCCACCCGTTTTTTTTTTTTTTTTTTTTTTTTTGCAATTGATTTACATAATCGGGACAAATATTTTCTGAAAATTTTTAATTTTTTTTATGTGCTTTAAAATAATTTTGAGTTGTATGTTTAATTATGAGTTGTAAATTTTTGTATCACATATCAAATGTCACATCAATAATTCCCCACTCAAATCAAACCTCTTTTCCAAAACTATTTTCAAAACTCTTTACCAAACAAATTTTCTACATTCAAATCATAATTCCACAACACACAAACTCAAAATACAACTCATATTCTCAAATCACATTTACAAAACTCTACCAAACGCTACCAAAGTTTTTGTTTTTCTTGTTTTTTTTATTACTAGTGGTTGGGCATGTGGCGCGCAATTTTTCATCAATCGTTATTATTGTAATTATGTATGTCTCTTAATGTAAGAATTTGAATTTTTAGACAACTAATTAGTTTATTAATAATAATATTAAGTCAATTAATAGTGATTATTAAACCATTAAATTATAATGTTAATAGCATCGTAATTAATATCAATATTAAATTCTTTTAAATAATTTTTTTTATCTTACTGTGATTAAATTTCTGTATTAAAATACAGTTGTGAAAACTAAATGGATTAAATTAATAGTAAATAAGCTAGTTAGAATTTAGTAGGAAGAAAACTATTCAGTTAAAAATAATAATAATAATAATAATAAAATAAATAAATAAAAAGTTATATATGCATATTAATATTGTATTGGCCTCAATTTCAATTCAATTCAAAAAAAAAAAAAAAAAGAAAAAAAAAAGGAGAAATTAATAATAATAATAATTATTTCGGGCTGAGGAAATTAGCCCAAGCATGCTAATGCATGCCTTGCTTCCTGCCACACTCCTAAGGCCTTTCCTTAGGCTTGTAGGATGTGTTATGTACAGTCTGTGCAGGCTCTTCTCCAACAACAAGTAACCTCATCAGGGGAAACAAGCATCTCTTAGGATAGAAATCCAAGCCCATAGGAAATTTTGGTGAAGATAAAAATGAAGTAAAGTAACAGAATAAACAAATATAATTTAAATACCAATTCCCCTTTAACAATGCCTACATAAGAACTCTATTTCAGCCATAATACACACCCACACGACTGTGAGAGGAAAGAAAGAGTGGAGAGGAAAAAGAGAGGAGAAAAAGAGAGTAGAAAAGAGAAGAGAAAGAGAGGAAAAAGAGAGGGTATTTGGTGAATACCAAATTCAACTTAGTTTGAGAAGTGTTTGCAATAGCTCTTGAGGTAAGAATACATCACCTCTATCCTCCCTTAGATACCTCTAACTGAATTTATATATACAAGACTAAGTATGGTTAAGTCATATATAGCAAAATAGTACCATGCATGCTTAAAATTTTGAATAGGATGAGGGTTTCATTATGTTATAATTTCATATTCTTTCTTGATATAAATATATGGCTTAGCTACTGTTTTTATGTGTTCAATATTCTCCATTGTTAAAATAATCTTGCAAAAGAGTAAAATGAGATGAGAATGACTTCCCTTTACCTGAAACTTAGATTCTTCCTCACTGTTTCAGACTTTATCGGATGAAAAGAGGGCTCTAATAAATTGAAGATAATTAATGTTAAAAATCTGTGTATATTGGAAGTATAGATAGGTGTTATACATTGTGTAAAATTTTTATAAAATCATTGGACACCATTTTCTCATCAAAACAAATATTTTCCCTAAGCGTCGCTTACAACACAGCAAAAGCAGTGGCTTCAAACCGGTTCCATTTCCTCTACAAATGGTATTTTTCTGCACGACCACTTGGAAAAGTTATATTTTTAAGTTACCTTTTAAATGTCGTTGGTTTCATAATTTTTTTATTAAGCATTGAGAGAGAAACGCTAATTTTTTCAAAACGTGACAGAATCTGTCCAGTTTTCTTATAAAAATTATTTGACCTCCTTCGACTGGTTTTCAGTCTTCACACTCTCTGGAAATATGTTCTAAACTCAAAAATTTAGCAAACCGTTCTGACCATGCCTCTTTTCGACACTATTTGAGGACCCTTTTTATTTTTTGAACACAGAACACCTGTGCTGACGTTTTCATGGCCTGAATATATCTTTTTACTTAATTGCTGTTTAGAGGCAGCAGCAATGCTGACTTTACCAGGTCACCGTTTATTCCACAGAATAAATTTTCAAGTGTTTCAAATCGGAAAAGTTAGATTTTTAAGTTACCTTTCAAATGCCACTGGTTTCATAATTTTTTATTAAGTATTGAGAGAGAAACGCAAATTTTTTCAAAATGTGACAAAATCTGTCCAGTTTTCTTAGAAAAATTATTTGACCATCATCCGTCGATTTTTAGTCTTCGAATCCTTCTGGAAACATGTTCTAAAGTCAAGTATCTAACATGCTGTTCTAACCATACCTTCTTTTGACACCATCTGAGGCCGCTTTTATTTTTCCAACACAGATTACCTGTGCTGGAAGTACTATAACTCACTGTCTCAGAAAAACCATTTTTCTTCCAAAATTTATTTCTCCCTTTAAAAATCGTTTTTAGCTCTGGTATTCTCTCGGAATATTTTCCTAACTCAATGAATTAGCACTAGTTAAAATATCGTAATGATTGAACATCGTTTGGTATGGGTTTCATATTTTTTTTTTTTTAACATACAGTGCTGACAGAAGTAGTGTGTGAATTTCTAAGAAATTTTGTGATAGTTCCTAAGACATTCTATCGTATTTATTTTGGTTGTCATATACGATTGTGTTGTGCTATATAAACATTATGTCACTATAATTTTCAAACTAAAACTCGTACATGCATCAAAATGTGAATTGGACAAAGTAAAGGGACACAAAATCGAACAGATACATTAAAATTTGAAAGTGATGGGGTGAGCCCGGTTTAGAATTTTGCGTAAGTGAGTTGCGAACCCTAACATGGCACAGGAAGGTATTTCGGCTTTTATTGGTACAGGCGATATAAGGTTGGTGGTGCGGGTGTCACAACGTGGACGGTTCCCTTGGGGTAGACCGTGGTGTTACTACTCGGGTACGTAACCGTGGTGCATGGGCATCATTGGTAGTTGCAGTAAGTAACATTTGAATATTTGACCAAGGGGGAGTCAGAATTGCCCGTGGCGATTGCTTAGCGGTTGAGTGGAAATAGTGCTCCGCGGAGAGTTACTTAAACTTACCTGTTAAACTAAATCTATGTGACTTTAAAAAGAAGAGTGTGCATTTTTCTTATGATGAATCATTATTTCCGTTTGCCATTTTTTTGTATTTCTTTATTTATCTATTGTTATTATTTTAACTGTTGGCATTTCTGTTATGCTTATTAAATGCTGCTTATTATTCTGTTATTACACAATATTTATTATTTGTGAGTATTATTATAAATGTTAATTATGTAAAATGACCTAATTACATTGTTTGATTAATTGGGATAATTAATTGTGAGAAATGAAGAAATGAAATGGAATTGCTGAGGTTGGGAATGTATGGGAAAAAGGGTGTAGTTGAATTATTTATCACTCACCGAATTGAAATGTTGATTTTATATCCATTTGTTGCATTTATTTTCTGTATAGAAATAACTGCTTTGGGCTATCGGTGGAGGATAGTCGTGATTGTTGTAGACAATGCATGATGATTAGGCAAACGGAAACTAATCACTGGAATGAGTCATTGAGTATGATGATTGAAAGAACACGTTAAATTTATGTGTTGTGTGATGATGTGTATAATTATTGTTTATATGCATTGTGTTGTGTTGGAGGAGATAGGGGATGTACTCCACGGTTTAGGGGAAGATAGGGGATGGACCTTTAAACCGGATGTTGTTGGGAGGAGATAGGGGATGGACTCCATAGATATAGCTCATATGCTTATCTAGTGATGTATTGACAGAGCTCATATGCTTGTCATTGGAAGTGTGATAGTGCTCATATACATATCTGTGGGAGTGATGATATAGCTTGTATGTTTATCTGTTGTTGTGTGATATAGCTAGTATGCTTATCTAATGTGAAATGGGAAGTGTTTGATATAAGTTACTGTCTCATATGAGTTGTTGGCCAGGTTCTGAGCCATGGTTATAAAAATGAGAATTGAAAGGAACTGGAAAATGAATTGTAAATGAAACTGTAAAGTGTGATAAGAGAAAGTATCACTGTTGACCATCTATCAACTGCTAATCTTTTAGTCATTGTTCATATTTGGTTTAGTGTATTTCTACTGGGCTGTGGCTCACCCTATATGGGAATATCATTTTCAGGTACAGGTAGCATGCCACCTCCAAGGACGTAGCTTGGGAGGCTAGAGGCGGACACACTTTTGTTGTCTTATTTTTGATGTGTTACATGTAAATTCAAGCCAAGGGCTTAATGTGTAAACGAGTTAGTATTCTTTTGTTGTAACCAAGTGTTAACTTGGAAAGCTGTAAGCCTTTAGGGCATTTGCTTTTGTCGTTAACATGTAATACTTTTGTAATGAAACTCTGTTAAATGGAAGAATGTGGAACTTTTACATATCAATGCATGTCTTTATTGATGGGTTTAATGTTGTTATTTTGAGGGCGTTACATTTTAGCTCTGGTATTCTTCTCGGAATATTTTCCTAACTCAATGAATTAGCACCAGTTAAAATATCGTAATGATTGAACATCGTTTGGTATGGGTTTCATATATATTTTTTTTTACATACAGTGCTGACAGAAGTAGTGTGTGAATTCCTAAGAAATTTTGTGATAGTTCCTAAGACATTCTATCGTATTTATTTTGGTTGTCAT